CAACACTATTTTTATTTAACTATAACTCTAATTGATAAAGGAGATTTTGAGTTTTATATTAATTCTAAAAAAAAAAAAAATGTTAGATTTTGAATGAATTTAAGTGGGTGGGTAGGTTTTTAATGAAGGGACCTATTGTTTTGAATTTAAAACAAAAATTTAATAATTTTAAGAAAAGAAAAAATTAAAATGTGAATAAAACAAACAGGAAAAGTGAATAAAAAAAAGAGAAAGAAAAACGTACACCCTGGGAATCGAACCCGTAACGTCGCGTAAAGACTGTGGCGCGTCTGCCATTTGAGCTAGCTACATTATGTTGCAAGGAGTGTCCTGTAAACTCTTTTACCCTTTAAGTTTGTTTTTTTTAATATAGGTATATACGGTAAAAAAATTCGACGAAGTCGTGTCACGTGACAGTGCCTAAATCCGCCCCTGTCTATATGGACAAGGTGCGCTATTCCAATGGACAAATAGTAGTTATGGATCCTAACGAATAGTTTTTGAGATGTTGGGTTAGTATAGAGGATAATTGATCTCCTCGGGTTGGTAGCCCAGATGAAACAACGATATTCTACCTATTAGTAGTCCAATGAAGTTTTCCATTCACAAACTTACTTGACTATTATTGTGGCACCAAACATTGATAATTATCAACAGTTCTTCGCAAATCACTCTATAGATTATACTAGTAAAATTACCCGCGCCTCGCGCGGGAATTTAATATCACGAAATTTATAAAATAATACTTAAAACCTATCAGTCATTAAAATTAAAACACTGTATTATCTTACATACAAGATTAGGTAGTCACGAACATTAATAATTTCATAATTTATCATTTTGCTTCCAGGAAGTGTTACTATTTGATATATTTGGGAAATCAAATATACATCAACCTGATATATTAAATTTTCTAATAAATAAATAATCATTTTTGAAGGGATAAATACATTTTAAAAGACCTAAAAAAGTGAACAAATATTCTAATTTTAATGTGTAGAAAGTTCATCCCTACCTTTTGCTTTACATATATCATTTTAAAGTTTCACATTTAAATATATCATAAGAAATTATTAAAATGGAAAATGAAAGGAAGAATGTATCATATTGGACAGCAATTCAACTTATCATATATACTTGAAAGAGAAAGATATTACACAAAAGGATTCAGTTTGTTTGGGTGCTTTTTAAAAATCAACGTACCAGTGTAATGGAGTTCAATTTGAAACTACACTTCTATGAAACACTTGTGTATTTATCTATGTCTTTGGGATTAAAAGAGGCTCCAGTCAAGTCAAATTCCTCTATAGGTCATTTGGCACAACATCCTTGAAGTCATGTCAAAAGTTACTAATTCTTGTCTTCTTTTCCTGGTTCACTTCGCACATCAAGGTACAGTAAGGTTTTTAAGGTCTTTATGTCCTTACAATGGCATACCAAATTTGAATCTTGTCTTCAAGAGATGGTAGTATAGATCTTTAAGGGATTTTTTATTGTACCTTCAACAATTACAGTAGAGAAAACTTGCGTGAATACTCAATTAACGTGTGTTATTTAATTTATACCAAAAAATACTTATAACAATAGCTTTGCAGAAATATAAACAACAAAGTTTAAAACATGTACTCAAAAACAACAATTAATAACATAAGCATAGATTAATGACTATAAAAAATATATCAGGATCTATAACAACAGAATGAAAATAGAAAGGAAAAAATCGAGCCCACTGAGTGCACAATGTCCCCTTAATGAAATTATTCCCTCTAGTACCCGAAACTTAAAGGAATAAATCCTCACTGAATAGAACGATTCTATTCACCAATGTATTGATACAAAAATAACGTTGTCAGTGAGCCACTCAACAGGAGCAAAATACATGAATATTTAATTGTGCTGAAGAAGAAAAAGAAGAAGTTCAGAATTTTTGTTGTTTTAAAATGAGAAGTAATCCCTCTATTTATAGACAACAAAGGGTAGTATGAAAAAATACTTATTGTGCCTTATCGGAAAGGTCACAACTCTTTGGAAAAGTTACAACCTTTCAAAAAGTTCACAGTCTTTCATAAAAGTTGCAACTCTTCGTAAAAGTCACAACTTTTCATGAAAAGGGAAGGATAGTTTTGGAAATAAATAAATTAAAAGGGAATCATGGTTTGTGGTGGTGCCACGTAGGCGGGCCTAAGGTTCTCTTTTATATATACTAGTAAAATTATCCGCACTTCACACGAGAATTTATAAAATAATACTTTTAACCTATCTGCCATTAGAACTAAAACACTATATTATCTTACATACAAGATTACATAGTAACGAACATTAATAATGTAAAGGAAAATATAACATCTTATCATTTATCATTCCATCAATCTTCTTTAATTTGATTTTATAATTTATCCTTTTTCTTTCGAGAAGTGTTACTATTTGATATTTTTTGGGGAATCAAATGAATATCAACCTGAGATATTAAATTTTCTAATAAATGAATAATCGTTGGTTAAAGGATAAATAAATTTTAAAAGTCTTAAAAAAGTGAACAAATATTATTATTCTAGCGTGTAAAAAGTTCAACCCTACCTTTTGCTTTACATATATCATTTTAAAATTTCTCATTTAAATGTATCATAATTAATTATTAAAATGAAAAATCAAAGGGAGAATGTATCATCATATTGGACAACAATTGAACTTATTATATATACTTGAAAGGGGAAAAAATATTACACAAAACTATTCAGTTTGTTTGAGTGTTTTTTAATAATCAACATAACATACTGATGGAGTTCAATTTGAAACTACACTTCCATTCCAATTGCAGTGTCGAGAAACACATTTACTACTTCAAGAAAAATATTTACAACTTGTAGTAAACTTGAGAATCTGTTCATATTTTATATTAAATATGAGCAATTAATTTATTTTGTAGTTATCTATGTCTGTGTGCAGAAGAAGAAGAAGAAGATCAGATTTTTTGTTGTTTGAAAAAGAGAGGAAATCCCTCTATTTATAGACAACAATAGGTAGTGTGAACAAATGCTTATTGTGTCTCATCAGAAATGTCACAATTCTTTGGAAAAGTTATAACCCTTCGGAAAGATCACAACTTTTCTTAAAAGTCATAACTCTTCATAAAAGTCATAACCTTTCATAAAAGTCATAACTTTTCATAAAAGTCATAAATTTTTATAAAAGTCACAACTCTTCATAAAAGGCACACCTTTTCATGAAAGGAAAATGCTAATTTTGAAAATAAATAAATTAAAAGGGAATTCTAGTTTGTGGTGACGCCACGTAGGCGGGCCTAGAGTTCTTTATGTATATATATGATATTTTCACCTCAATTTGAACTAAACTTTATGTCTGTGAATGCTAAAGATAACCACTACCTTATAAACATCATATCCAAAACCATATACTTGCCCCAGGTAATTTTAGGATAAGACAATTTCTTGTACTTTCTAATTGATGGATTCCATAGACAAATTTGTGTATCCCGACTGACAAGACAAATCCATCCATTGACAGAATCTTCAATCGAAACACAACAGACTCATTAAATAAAGAGCTAAGACTACAAGCTCTAAAGTTGTACTTAGGACTTAGAGCCCGTTTGAATTAGCTTAAAAATCGGTCAAACCTACTTTTAAGTCCGTTTTTGACTTCTGAAAGTGTTTGACAAATATAAAAAATAAGTTAAAAATAACTTAAAATAAATTACGAAGTGTTTGGCAAGGTAAAAAAAATGACTTAAAATAAGTAAAAAATGACTTAAAATAGGTCAGAAACCAAAAGTAGGTCTCCCCTACTTTTTATTTTTTGACTTAAAAGCCATTTCAGTTTGATTTTTTATTTTTGACTTAAAAGCTACTTTTTTTAAGCCAATCCAAACATGCTCTTACACTCATCATAACTTGGGGTGGTAAATTTTTTAAATTGACAACTCTTTTTGAACAAGTATTTTCTTAATATACATGACAACTAACAAGGAATCGATGGAGTATCTATTGTCTACTTTAACCTGGAGGCATTAGGGTTAAATTGGTCATTCAATAATATAGATTTCAGGGAGTAAATTATGTGTTTGCAGAGCCATTGGATTCCTGTTATCACACCTGTATTGAAGGAAGTGCACCAATGTATTTGCAGGAGCCGTAAAACTACGTTCTTGAGCTTGAGGTTTGAATTTCTTAACAGTATTACAGAAACATCAATCAGAATGCACAATGTCCACTGAAAACACTTGGCAGTAAGGTTTCACTGGTTAAGTACATAACTCTGCCATTTGAAATGATTCATGACAGTATCCCTACTACATGCTCTTGTTTGTAGTATTTGAACCGAAAGTACTAGTTACAGTTTCTCCTTAACGGAAGCGGATCTATAGCAACCATGACTCGTGTCATCATATGTATAGTAACTTTGAAGTTACATATGCTCAAGGGTCTTAACTGTATCATCGGTATATATAGTAACTCCTAACTGATGGTTAACCTGATCAACAACAAAATGCATGGTCCTTGGCAGATTAAGGACATTATTGATCCAGAGAGGTCAATTCTCTTTTGTTCATATTTAAAAACAATGAACCTCACATCATCATGTCCATGGTTCTTCCTAACAAGCAGTCAATGATATAGCCGACTGTTATGTCGTACACTCGTGATCCTGCTGTGTTTTAATTTGAACAGAACATTGAAAAGATAGACAGCGACTGAATCATCAAAGGATTTTTGCATTAAAAGAATGCTTTATGTTTCTATCTCCTCCTACCAATTAAGAAAAGACGCACACGTCACAGAAATTACTAGTCTAAGACAAAACTATATGCAACTTAACTTCTCTTTTCGACACACTACATACGTACTTTGAGGCCTTAAAATGAAACTAGAATAGTAAATTCACATGAACTGAAGAGAATAACAGAACAGCGAATGTAGTTTGCCTGTTCTGAATGCATTAAAGATCACCAACGAGGAAAGATTTAAGGAATAAATAGCTGCTTGAATGCATTAATAAACTATATTAAGTTCGTATTAGTATATGACAGAGATAGACAACTTAGTACAAAATGGAGCATCTTTGCTCAAAGTTGTTTAGGCTCGACATCTTCGAATTCCTGCAATGTGCTAATTCAGAATAACTTTTTTGAATATGCTTGCCCTTCAGAAACAGTGGTTATGTATCTTTCTGGTGCGGGTTACATGCTCTATTATTAGCTTCATATATTGTAGCTGCAATTTGTAGAAAACGGTTAAAAAAATGGAAACATTAACAATTAAAAGGGAAAAACAGAACCAAAGGAACTACTGACATTTACTTCATTTGTTTATTCTGTATTAGCATAGGGTAATTGATCAAACAAGTTTTCGCTGGTATCTTACAACATAATGCTGAAAAGATGCATAAAGGGTCATTTCGGAGGGTTGGGAAGTTTTTAAGATAAGTAGCAGATGGAATATAACATCTGCTACTTATACTAACAGGCATTCAAGGGAAGGAAACCTTCCGTTACAACAATATTACGAGCTAAATTAGATTCCTAAAATACACTCTCCTTGCAATGTCGTCTTTCTTATGTTAATGTTACTACCAAAGTGGAAGAAGAGAAGATAGTCCCGAAGAAAAGACAATTATCAATTAGCAGCAAGGGAAGACCAAAACCAGCCCGCAAGAAAATGAACACTTAGCTATTCGCAGCAAGGGAAAAGACAAAACCAGATACTTTACCCGACCTTGATCCTTGTACAAGAATTGACGAGATTCCTCTGTTTTCCCTGGTTAAGTTTTTATCAGTCGAAAAAATTAATGAAGTCGTCCTAGATCAAAAACAATTCTAAGTAGGACCTAAGCTAAGATTTCAAGTCCTTGGTGCTTCTTTGTTTTTTACACTGTCTTGAGGTAAAACAACTGCTCGAAACACTGCTCAATATGAGAAACAATTTCCAGCGCCATTTAGCATGAAGTTGAATACAAAATTATTGTTACTTGAAAATAGAGCACAAGGGAAAATGAATAACAAGCTCTCCTGGCAACATAGTTTTAAAAATAAGCATAATTCAACAACACTTGACAAGAAAGTACTCTTACAAGTTATTTGCTACTTCGTTGTTTCTCAACCTGAGCTTCTTTTTTTGTTGCATCCTCAGTCCCTACGGTAGAAAAAGGACAAACTAGGCTTTCAATGTAGATTTCCGCCTCATCCCAATTATTAAAGTTAACAACCTTTGAAGATCTGAGCATGTCACCCTTTGGATTGTATATCATGAAATTTGATCCAAACACAACCAAAATTTCACTTCCACTTGCCATGTGTAACGTATTTGCCCAAGATATCCATACACCGATTGATCCTCCGGAATCTTGATAGTAAACATCTTCGTCCAAGATTCTTTAATCTCATACTCCTTCATAAGCCAAACATCTAACATATTTGTTTTGTCACAATCACAACAGACCGAAAGATTACTTCCCAACACTCCCAAGCTCAAAACCGCACCTCTTCCTCTTTTCCAATAACAGGGTAGTTCTATCTCTCCCCATTTCCCATCAGCCAAATCGAAAGAAATGATGCTTTGTTTAATACACAGTTTAGGATCTATAATAGTAATCCAATGAAGTTTCCCATTCACAAACCTACCTGGCTGCTGTAGGGGCACTATACTTGGACAATTATCAACCGTTCTCCAAGAATCACTTTTTAGACTATTTCTTTTTACCTCAATATGAAGTGAAATGTTGTTATATATAAAAATAACGACTACATTATAATCATCATGAAACTTATCATATCCAAAGCCATATACTCGGGGGAAATACGCCAAAGTAGTTTTAGTTTTAGGATTAGGCAACTTCTTGTACTTTCTAATTGATGGATTCCATAGAAACAATTCCTTCTCCCGACTAACAAGACAAATCAATCCATTGACAGAACCTACAATATAAACACCACATGGAACTTGCCTGGGATAATCCAAGTCGTTTGCCTTGATAAATGAGTTATTAAATAAAGAGCTAACACTACAATCTCGAAAGTTGCACACAGTACGTTCAAACATCATAACCTTATGGCGGGTGTATTCGTTGTTATTGTCATTTAAGCTGAGATGAGTTTTCACAAATTCAGGACTAGAGATCAAAGCAAACCAAGATTTTGAAGCGCACCTAAATTTCAAGAGGGATTTTACTGGAAGCCTCGAGAGGATTTCATTAACGAGTTCGGCTGGCAGAAACGGAATTGAATTTTCCATGGTTGATGAAAATTGAGAATTGATTTTACTTATATGCATCTCGTTATACATATACTAAAACCCTATTCGTATAAAACTCCTTTTATCAATTTATTTTGGTTGCTTCCTAAAACGAGTCAAACTAATTAAACCAATTAATGTTTGATAGTGAATTCACATATATTTTTTTAATTATTTTGAAATAAAATTTAAATATTTAGAAGTTACATAAAATATAAAAGAGCAACTTTCACATGTAGCAAGCATAAAAATCACATTTATATGTTATAGTTATAGTTTGCATAATTGCGCTCCATAATAAATTTTATGTTTGCTATGGAGCTTTTGATTTGTATAATTCGCTACAAATATCCAATTTTATACAAATTGTTCAGTTTTGTATAAATTCATTTATACATTGTAATTTGTATAATAAGATCTATATTTGTATAATTATAAGTGTATAGGACGAAAATATATGTATTTGTATTTGTATATACACTTTTCTCTTGCTTTATACAAACACAAACGCATTTTATACATTTTATACCGAAATGTATAAAATGGCTAATTGTATACCGAAAATGGCTAATTGTATATCAAATCAAATGGCAAAAAAAAGGGGATGTTTGCTGCGAATTACAATTAAAATAAACTATGGCTATAACATTTAATTTGAATTAATAGTTTGCTATTTCATACAATTTTCCCAATATAAAATAGTTATCAATTCAAAATAAATATGTCAAAATAAAGGGGGTAGCACACAATATTTTTTTTATAAATATATAGAAGGAAACTTTGTATAATCATATGCTTTCCGGTAATATCGGGAAAAAATTTGATAGACTCGGTCGGTTTTCAATGATTTTCTAATGTTGTTTTAAAGAAAAATTGATGGACAAACGTCGATTATTTTTCATGCATAAATGTACTATAACTATAATATTTTTTTATAAAAAGAAAATGGACTTTAAACATGGTTTTCAAACTTGTGGACCAATCGATGTACCTCTGGGTGCTTGGGCCTGTATGGACAACTTGTGTTATTCTGTTAAAGAATGACAAAAGTCCACATTGGTGATTAATGAGATGGGTGAATTCCTTATAAGGCTTGTGCAATCATCCCCCTTTGAGCTAGCTTTTGGGGTGTGAGCAGGAGCGAACCCACATGGAGTTCTCTGGGTGCTTGAGCACCCATTAACTTCCCGATCTTAAAAAAGCAACCACAATTTTAGAATCTTGAATCGGCCATTGCTCATGTCTATTATGCAACTTAATCTCCCGAAAATTTAAACAATCATGATCTTCCATGTCTATTTACTCTTTCTTTCTCATCGGTCTAATTAGGAAAAATGAAAAGGGAAGGCAAAATATTCTTTTCTAGCGACTTCATTTAAGTTCTCCAACTCAAAAGCAAAAAAAATCCTCCTTCTTGTTGGTTTGCCTTTTTGGTAATTACAATAGTATGTGAAGGTATTATATTGTTCCTCCTACTTTTTTCTTGAACCAATCCAAAGAATTCTAATTGGCTATGTCATTGAACTGGAAAAAAAATGCTCTTGTTGAGAAAATTTAGTGCTCAATTACGCTTTTTGATTGACATAAGTTTATATTAAAAATAGTGACACCCATAATCATAAAATCCTGGATCCGCCACAGGGTGTGAGTTAGGACTAAGATCTAATTTAACATGGTAACAAAGCAGGGCCCATCTCACCCAATGTTCGGTCCCCCAAAAGTCAAAGTTGTCCCCCAAAAATTAAAATTGTCCACGCACTAGATGCTCAGCATGGAACGTGAGGTGGGGTGTCAAAAAATGACAAAAGTCCCACATTGATGGTTAATGAGATAGGTGGACTCTTTATAAGGCTTGGGCAATCCTCTCCCCCCCTTGAGCTAGCTTTTGGGCTGTGAGTTAGGCCTAAGACTTAAAGCTGTTTTTTGAAGGCTAGTAAAACCTGCATGACCAAAACAAGTAGTAGTAATTAATTAACTCGTTTTCATACTTGTTAATGTTGTGTTTGAATGTGTATATATATACCTGGTTTTCCTTTCAATTTCTGCCATAGTGGCATGATGAATCTGCCATAAATAATCAAAGTGATTAAGATGGCGGACACAAAAAAGACGGTAAGAGAGCCTGCTGGAATTTTGAATTTGCCAACGTTAGGTTCCATAGTGGCAGCTTGTTCAACAGAAAATGTAATCATTTGTGCATAAGTTGTCCAGAAAAGTATAGTTGTGGCCCAAATTGGAATCAACCTAGCCATCATTTTAACTTCCTCCACTCGAGTGACTGTGCACAACTTCCATGGATTTGGATTTAAATCATGATCCACAAAATCTCCTTGTGCTACAATAGTCTTGTATAGCATGCCAACATCATACGGAACATCCATCTTCCTTTTCCTTGTAGCAGCCAAAATGACTTGAAATATTTGAACTATAGGACTTCCTGAACTTCTCTTGTACCGATACCTTTTAGTACCCGAGAAAAAGATTATAATCGCAATCACCATAGATATACAACAAATACCATAAGCCCAGCTTCTTCCAACTTCATCCTGAACATAAACAAGCACTGTAACTGCTGCCAATATTCCAATACTTATAAATATGGGGAGGTAAATTGTTTGAACAAGTATATTTTCAGTATACATGACAACTAAAAAGGAACGGATTGAGTATCTATTATCTACTTTTACCTGGCAAATATAGGGTTAAATTGGTCATTCAATAATATAGATTTCAGGGCGTAAATTATGTGTTTGCAGAGCCATTGGATTCTTGTTTCCACACCTGGGCAGAGTGACCACTTCTCTTGTGTTTGGACCAATGTAGTATTTGGACCGAACATACTAGTTTAGGAGACTAACAGTTTCTCCTTAACGGAAGCCGATCTATAGCAACCATGACTGGTGTCATCATATATATAGTAACTATGCTCAAGGGTCTTAACTGTATCAAGAATAGTAAATTTACATGAACTGAAGAGAAAACAGAACACCCAATGTAGTGTCGCAGTGTATTGATATTTCAAATTTGAACATATTTGACTGAAAATCTAATAACTTTTACAAATGAAACAGTGCATTTGGAGATAAAGTGACTGCATCACCAATCCAATAAAAAATAAAATTTGTCCCTAGAAAGAGCCAGCTTTCCACTTTCTAACTCTACCGGATGCCAGTTCTGATTTTCCCAATCAAATTTGTAGGTTGTTACTTCTTGTAATTTACAACGCAAAGGCCTGCTTTCATGACTCGAACTCTTCATATTCATTAAACGATCCATAAAACATGAAATCATTTTACTAGTTGTGACAAGGAAGACTTTTCTAGGATGGCAATTCCATTGCAAATTTGCATCCACAAAAGTCTTAGGAATTTGATCTCCTATATACTCTAGTGATACCAAATTTGGAGCATTGATAATATCCAACATAGGATACCCTTCCCCAGCATCAAAATAGTACAAGTGTTCAAGAGTTGGTGCTTCAATTTTAACACGTTGGTTTCTAAATGTCTTAATAGTAACTGACTTGATCCTTTGAAGATTCAACAACTCAATCTTTTCCAACCCAAAACAATGCTCTAGGACGAGACTGACAATCAATGAACATTTATTAAGTAGAGTCTGGAGCATGTTATCGTCTAAACTTATATAAGAAAGAGAAAGCTTTCTCAACGAATTGTAGTTCACCACATCACTAGATAACGGAACACGCTTCAAATTAAAACCATTCAGAACCAATTCTCTTAAAGATTTCGCTGCAAAGATTGTGAAAATAGGTAAGGTGTATGATGTATAGCGAGGAACTCCAAAGATGATATCTTTTACACCATTCTGAAGAGCAATGTGAAGCCACTTATCAAACAAAGGAAAAATTTCTTGGGAATAACTAGAGTCAGATAATTCAAACCTTTCTATAGGGATTTTTCCATCGTGATATCTCTCCATGATACTATCCACTTTTTTCATATTGTCATTAAGATAATCAACTTTGAATTCCAAATTGGGATGAGTCGACCAGGCTCGTAACCATGTTTTGGAGAGAATGCTCATCTTGGTGGCTTCTTTAAAACTAAGAAAAGAGAGTATTTTGTGAATGAGACAATCAGACAATATGTCAGATGTGGCTCTCATCATGATTAGTTTGTTGATCTCTCTGGAAAAAGTATTAGGTGATTCTTGAATTTATAGCTTTTGGTTTCGTTAAAGCATAATTTGTCCTTTTTTCCTTAATTGTTCCGATTGACACTTAAGTTCTAGGGAAAAGGGTCTCTGATAAACCCTAAACTTTGTAATTTATAACTCATATACCCTTGTTATAAAAATTACACATATATACCCTGACGTTACACAATTGGCACATATATACCCTTTTCATAATCCATGTATAAAACTCGTTCTATCAATTTATTTTGGTACGCGAGATAAGGTGAGATATCCCAGGATTAAGTTCATACAGAGTTTGATTGACTGTATAAATTTATAATATCTGTCTGCGTTCCGAAAGAGTTGTTTTTTAAGTAGGAAACAGAAACGGACAGAGTAAAAGAAAAAATCCCCAACCTATCAAGACTACATCTTGCGGTTACAAAGGAGTATGGTGTTAAAGAATCTTGGACAAAAATGTTTGTATTGTGTTTACAGTGCCACTTTTAGTTTCAAATTTCTTATATTTGGACAAAATTTCTTCTTGTAGAATCTGAAGGATGAGTCAATCAGATATCCAAAGTTTAATAAGTTTTGTTTCTGCCTAGTCAATTTGCCTTGAGAGCCTACTTTCTCCGGTTTTACAAAATGAACAAATCACAAACACAACAAGAATGAAGGATGCTCAGATGGACACAATTGTGTAAGTACTGACTTGTAAGAGTACTTCCACTTGATACATTTTCTTGTCAAATATGGAAAAAATACATTGCATATATAACTACTAGATTGCCCGTTCTAAAACGTAAAGTAAATAGTGAAGTGTATGGGGTACCATGCTTTTCCCTAACTATTCTTACAGGGACCTCCTTATCACTGATTGCACCCAACTCCCCACTTTTGTTTTGCGTAACCCCAAAGCAATGCTCCAAACCATCTACCATGTACCATAGCCAACTCATTCCTTCTTGTTGACATTTGACTCGAACTTAATCTTGTTTATACTCTTTAACCGGATATATAATTGTTGTGGTTAATCCTTTATATATCATACTTTATCAGAAAAAATCATATGAAATAGAATCTTACAGAAGGTAGCTTCTGATCCACTTTTTCATTCTGTCTACTCCCTTGTTCAAATAAAATTTTGTTGAATGATCCAATTTAAAAGTTCCGGTAGATACAAGTTCTTTAATGATCTAAAATCAAGCATAAAGATAAAGATCTTATCAATAGATTTGGTTAAACTATATTGATAACTAATTAATTAAGTAGAAAAATCTTTACTATCATGTTTAAATATGGAAATATTAGCCTAGGAACATTCCAACATAATGTAGGAAGTCATTTTTTTCATACACTAAAGAAAATTGAATATTAGATTAGGGTGATCTGATAGCAAAAAAGGGAATAATATCCAAAATAGGTTTTTTTAAATTGTCCTCTAAAGATGTATATAAGAAGACTTTGACAGTAGTACACAGTCCATATAAACTCAAATGGAATCGGAAGCCGCCTGTCAACAAAGCAAACCCACAAAGTTAATGTTGCCATTCTCTATCCTTCCACCGGAACTCAATACTGACATCCTCTTAAGGCTTCCAGTGAGTTCCGTCTTGAAAATTAGGACTGTTTCAAAATCTTGTCTTGCTTTCACCTCTACCCCTGAATTTATCAAAGCCCATCTTAGTGTATCTTCTAACCATAAGCTTTTGTTGAGTTTTAGTCAACCCAACTTCAATTTGAAAGATTGTTCTCTTACATCTTTACTTTATAGCTCTGTTCTAGATACATCAGACTTGGATTATCCCATGAAAACATATTTTTGGTTTATTGTAGGTTCAGTCAATGGACTGATTTGTCTTTCTAATAGGGCAAATGAATTGTGTCTATGGAATCCATCAATTAGAAAGCACAAAATATTGCCTAATTTTACATTTAAGTTTAGGGATGCTGCAAGATTTATTTATGGTTTTGGATATGATGAGTTTCATGATGACTATAAGGTAGTGGCATGTATTTACCTTCACGGGAGTTTGCCTTTATTTGGAGACTACGTCAAAATATATAGTCTAAAGGATGATTCTTGGAGAAGCATCAATTTTCCCCGGGATTGGGTGAAATCCTTTAACTGTGGTAAGTTTGTGAATGGGAAGCTTAATTGGGCTTATAGGTCTTATTGTACGGGTCCTTTTTGGCGTAAGGGTTGGAACATCATTTCTCTTGATTTGGCTGATGAGAAATGGGAAAAGGTAGAGACACCTTGTTATAGTAAAGAAGATGGTGTTTTTGAGTTGGGAGTGTTGGAAAATAATCTTTCTGTGATACATAATGGCAATTATGAAGGAACTGACCTAGATGTCTGGGTTATGAAGGAGTATGGGGTTAAAGAATCTTGGATAAAGATGTTTACCTTTCAGTATCCTCATCCTCATCCTCATCCTTGTTTGATGTTTTTGTATAATCCACCCCATTTAATTTCGAATAAAGGTAAAATTTTGTTGATGTGCGGAAAAACTTTCCTGTTGTACAATCTGAAGGATGAATCAATCACATATCCCAAGTTTACTACGGTAGGATCTGATCTTGTTTCTGTGGAGTCAACTTACCTTGAGAGCCTAGTTTCTCCGGTTTTACAAAACGATCAGGGACACAACAAGAATGAAGTGTGCGAAAGCTCACATGGTCGCAACTGTGTAAGTAATGACTTGTAAGAGTTCCACTTTATACATTTATCTCATGTGTCTTATGTGTAGTTTGGTAGTGAAATAGAGCTTGTCTTTTGAATTAACTAAGATAAGAGTCTCTAATCAAAGTTATCTTTGATGCATGTTAATGTAGACTGCGCATGGGATAGCCTTGCTTGTGCCGCTTTCTAACTGATGTGTATTATTGAATTTTCAGGAAATGAAAGCTGATGTTAGAAACAACTGATTCACGCCCCATACTGATTGCACTTATCAAAATGATGAAGCGTGGTTATTCCATGTTCTCAACGTTCGCTGTGATATGCTAATATTATTACCATTTCCATATGCAAGAACATATTTTTTTGAATGCTAGTTGATTATCTTACTTAGTGAGTAGCTTGAACCTTGAAGGTTTGTTGTGACAAAAGATTGAGTAAGATTCTCCTTTCCTGGAATGTTTGCACGTAGTATCAGGTTGAACTTCATCTGGCAAGAAGTTAATGTTCCCTTTGTTTGGTTGTTGCTTCATTATCTTAGTTATGATTTGTTCAATTTCTAATAATTTTAATCAGTTGTAGAGTTTTTGGAACTATGTTTATTTGAGTTGTTTTTGCAAAAACTGTGAAGATCAGCATGGTGAATCTATGCTTGGGATCAGGTTACACAAAACTCCAGACAACAATCAGCAACATCCGCTTTAGCTTGGTTACCAAATCGTGTAAAACAGTCACTTGTAATTGAATACTTCCCACTGGCAGTAAGGAGGAACTGCCCTTGTGCCTACCTTTCCTGCATCCTATCGTTCAATAAATTGATCGTCTACCCTTTATTCCCTAACAAGATCAAGCAAAGTTGGAACTAGTCTAGAACTAATTGACCTGGTGGCTGCTGCATCCGGTCCCTTTACCAAAATTTAACAAATTGAAACACAAGCACTTCCAATCTTTGGGTCTTAATGTCTCAATCATGTCGAGTAGAGCAGTAGATTTATTAGCATCACCAGAAATGTTTGTGCATTAAGAGAGAAACCCTTGTCAACCATTTCTTGCAAAAGTGTTAATACCGTATGTAACTTATTCTTTCTCAGGTGTATTCATGCTGAGTCTTTTGTCCCCTTTGTTGCACTAGTAGCATCCCCTGTAACTTATTCTTTCTCAGGTTGCAAATGCATTATCAGTATTGATATCTTCTGTATCCTTTCCAGTTTCTTCCTTCTTTTTGCCATTGTCTGTACCTATTATCTTTGCATATTTACTTCTTCTCTGCATCCATTCCTGCTTTCTTTGTGTACTTCCAACAACTTTACCACTACTCAGTATTCTGGTCTGTCCTTGTTCAACCCAAAATTCTCTCTGAAGATTTTTCTCGTTCTGGATGTAGTGCCGGACATTTAGCTTCTCTATGTCCTTGTAACTTACAATGATTGCAATATTTCGGTAGATAGTCATACTTAATTGTAATCCATTTAGAATTAACTTCCCCTTTGACTTCATCCTCTTCTGCAATTTTGATTTCTCTTAGGGTGTTGTGCCAATAAATCTACCTCAACTTTTACCTTTGCACAACTAGGTCTAGTCTTATTTTGTATCGCCATATCTACTGTTAATGGTTTTCCAACTGCAGAAGCCAGTGAGAAACAGCTTCTCTGGCAAGGAAATTAGGTGGCAAGTCTGAAAAACTAATCCATGCTACTGCTATAGATGTCTCCTCCTCTAGAACAAACCAAGGATACCACTTCAATGGCCTCGTCTGACAGTATAGGTTATGAACCTTCAGATAGTATTCTGGGGTCGACATCATCTTTGAATAGTCCTCCAGTAATGATAGTCGAATCAATACATATCTATTTTCTAAGAGCCCTATGTTGCATGGCCCTTTGATCTCGCACTGTGCTGAGATTACTCTGCGTAGCTCGTGTAAATCTGGCTTGTCATAAGAGAATTTTCCCAGAATTGCATAGTGTTGAACTTTTGATGACATCCAAGTAATTTGAGGCTCTCCATGTAAATATACCACTGTTTTCCTCTGAATTGGTTTTATAATCATGTTGTTTTGGTCTGGTTTTAAAACTTCTGAGTACTTTGTAGCGAGGAGTGGAGGTTGTATTATGGATGTGGACCAAGCAGCCTCTGGTGGAGACTGTCCGCCGGCCACCAGGGCCATTAATGGCAGTACAAAGTATAATCTTGTGCAAATTAAACACCTCTCCGTCCCCTGACATTCCACATCATAATCTTCGACTTCTACCATAATATATCCTTACATTATGTATCTTCTGATCTGCAAAAATGTTACTGGCTG